AGAATGTTACCTTTATGCAACGAAAACAAAATAGTTCTAGATCTGAATATTTTCGGACGATAAATTTGATCTCGCCCAAAAATAGAGGGCAACTGATGCGCCACAAACAATTTTTCATCATCTGGCACGAATCTTGAGGTAATATTTTGAACAAGAAATATTCAAATTTTGATAAAAAGTCACTCGGGCTATGATTTTAGCAAACTTATAGTCAAACTGACCGACTCGATGAGTTAGACCTAATGATATCAAAGTTAGTCTAATGTGAGTTAAATTAAGCTTAGATCAAGTGATTAAACCATTCTTGAAAGATTTTCGGACACATTTGAAAGGTCAAATGACTGTCGAATTTAGCGAATTTATTGTCGAATCAAGCATCTCGACAGGAAAAATCCAAAAAGCTCAAGATTGCTCAATTTTGATATTGTTAAGGCACTAAAATGTTCATCAAACGTCATTCGATCGAGGAAAGCTCTCTGGACCGTTCTATTAAAATAGTTCATATTCATGCATTAATTGCAACCAGAAAACTATAAATAGAGCCACACCCTTCACATGAGAGGGGGGGCTGGAGAGAAAACTTGAGGCTTTGAGAAAGAGCTCAAGTCCAACACCATCCCTGCCATCGTCGATCGTCGTCGACCACCACCGGCCTTCAGCGATTACCGCCGACCTCCGTCGACCACTGTCAGTCGTCGTCGACTACGACAGATCATCACTGACTGTCTTCAACTGCCGTCGACCAGCGCTGTCAGTTTCCATCAACCACCGACCGTCCTCGACTGCCGCCAACCACCGCTGATCACCGTCGACCTCCGTCGACCACCGCTGACCAGACGCCGTCAGTCGATGTTGTAACATCGAAAATCTAGTAACTTATTCCCGTCTGTGAGACATGGTGTCTCTATAATCATCAACCTATAATGAATTTTTATAACAAGTTCAAACCCCGTAGTTTTTTCCCTTTACGGGGTTTCCACGTAAAAACGTATGATGTCATCACATGTTATTTCCCTTTCATCTGAGTGTGTGTTGAATTCTCGTGTAACTCTAAGACGATAATTCATTACTCTACCACCGCAAATTTTCTAGCACGCATCAACAGTGTATTAATCTTTCAGCAAATCAAAAAACCTCTAAATTATTCCTAAATTTTCTTCGATGTCAAACTTTCTCAAAATCAAACCTTTAGATGCCCTAATTACCTGGCGTCAGTACTGAAAAATTCATCAATATAATTTAGAAAACAAAACTTATAAAGCCCATTCCTTATCCTTGACTTAATTTTAAAACCACACCACCAACTAGCTAATTACAGAGTACTTATGTCGTCATCACAATTAGTCCCACATTGGAAGTCTTTCTTTCTTTGATATATAAAATAGATCATGGATTCAAACTATGCAGTACTCGTTAGAGATAAGTGTACGTCTCCTTAACTATTAAAAAATTGGCCAATGATATAATTATCATTAATTTGCGGCTAATATTAAAACCAGCCTTAACACCGTTTACCAAAGAATAGACGCGCAAGTTGCCTATAAAACAAACTCTAACTCTTCTTTACTCTGATTCGTTAGCACAACAGGTGAATATATTATTGCTAAATTGCATGTTGATACATATCCAATTGGATGTTAGGTGTGCTCAGGATTGTTGGAATAAATAATATACCATAATTATAGTATGATACACTATACATCATGATAATAAGGCAAAATTATAAAAATATAGAAATTAAATGTTTGAGATTAATAGATTTTTAAACTAAAATCAAAAGGAAATTTCATTTTCTTATTAAATTAATTATCCTCTATTATTAAAATTTAGTTTTTTATATTATTTTCACTACAAAAAAAAAAGTTTTTTACGATACCTATGCAGACAATCACGGTCATAAAAATCCCTGTTATTTTCATTGTAGCGAAGTTTAAGTCGTTACAAATGTTAATGCTGCAAAGACGTTTAGCAGTGATTTTAAATATTTTAATGGGTTTTTTTTCAAATAATCTTAAGATGATTTTTTAAAAGTGTCTTTAAATAAGTGCTTGTCAAATTTTTTTTTTACCAGTGTTTATTATATTTTCAACCTCTTATATATTGAAATTTTATTTATCTTATTTTTTAGAATTAGAATGCTAAAAGTATAAGCATCAAACTCGAAAAAACAGCTACGTCTGGGCAAGGGACGTGATGCATGGAGGAAACGGAGGAAAAAAAAAAACCAACCTCCCCATGCATATTGTGTCCGAACAACGGCGTCATGCACGAAGGAAGCAGATGAAAAGAGAGCCGACCTCCTCGCGCATCCCGTCCCGTTGTCCAGCTTGCGTTCGGACTCCGTGTGCAATATTTTCTCCTCAAACTTAGGTCAGGCGAAATCATAACTATATATATTTAGGTTAGGTGAGCACTATAATTCGGCCTCTCATGATTATTACTTTTTTTATTCAACCAATAAAGTATACATTAAAAATCATTTAACTAACTATCTTAATAAATTTTTAACTATTCTTAAAAATTAGCATTAAATCTGCTTGGTTTGAGTAAAAAGGGAAAAGCATAAGATTCTATACCCATTCATCGTAAGACAGCTACAAAATCTAAGGAATCTTAAAAATCTTTGTAATATTATGTCAAAGTCATGATTTCTCATTCCTTTTTTCTCCGAAAATCAATGTCTTTTAGCTTTATGCTCAATTAATTATCCATTCCGTTTACTTATTTTTCGTTTTGATGGACAAGACTTGTCTAATAAAATTTGTTATTAATGGCATTAATTTGATTGTAATACATGCTAATTAGGAATAACTTATTACTTTAAATATATTTATCAAACTCTTAAATAATAAATTTAAGCATAATCTTGGTACCATTATCTTATAAGCTTATTAAAATATTTTCTAAGAAGTGGCAAAATAAAGCTATAAATTTAGTGGCTAATCAATTCTATTATTTATTTATTTTTTATTAAAAATATGTTTGCTTTGTCTATTTTTTAACATATGTTTACTTCTTTATATAAATAAATCTCCATTTTTTAGAAAAAAAAATATTTAAAATAGCTATTAATTATTTGAGTGTTTTTAAAAATAATCATATTTTAATCAGATAGTCAAACATAACTTATATCAAATCAAATTACAAATAAATAAATAAATTAATAAATAAATAATAGAAAAAAAAGTGATCTCAAAATGTCCCCAAAAAGCTCAAGTCATTAGGGTTACATTGATTCATCAGACACATTAAATTGATTATTTTGTTGATTAATAGCATTATTATTCATCTAATTCAAGTAATCTAACTCAAAGCTTGCACATCTTACCGATTCTACTTGGTAGCAAGTTTCATAACAAAAAAAATAGCCCTTCAACAATTTGTGACTAGGGTTAGAAAATAGGCGGACATTGAGTACATGATACAATATGGTGACCCGACATATGTAATTGAAAAAAATAAGACACAACATGCACTGACATATTTTATTATTTAATTAATTTTTAATAGAGAATATAATTTTTTATAATTATTTATTAAAGTCATCAAAAATAAATTATGCAAGCATATACTTAACTTGTAAATATAACTTCTTTTATAAAATCGTATTTTTATGGAAATTAATTTTCAAAATTAGACTTATAATCCTCAAATTTATATACAAAAATTTAAAATAAACTTTTTATTTAATAAATTAGCTAAAAATTTAACATTTTGAATGAGAATAAGTGTAGATTAATAACTATTATCTCATCAAGTAAAGAAAGACTATAAATTATTACTTATAAAGCCTGGGTGTCTTTGACTCCACTTGACTTCGACTACAAGCTTCATTGCTAGTGTTGCAAAGTTAGCAGGGTATTTGGATAAGCTTCAATGAACTTGCTACTTTGACTCCTAATCAGTTTGCGTGGCTCCATTTTAGCATGTTCAAGTTCGACATAGGTGAACAAAAGAAAACTACTATAGGTGGCTTTGACGGATACAAGATGAATCTTTGATGCTCGGCTTAGACAAACAAAGAGGGAACTACTGATGCTCGTCTTCAATGAATATTCAATTAATCTTCGATGCTCGATTTAACATGATGAGAGAGGAGTGACTTCAACTATCATGCATACTTAGGGTTATACATATATTTATAATTTTCCATTTCCCGTGTTATGTTCTTACACAAATTATCTTGAGCTTATATCTAATGCGATGTCGAGGCATATACTAAATGTGTTTGAACGCAAAAAATAAATTAGACACATATTTTGCAGTGAAGGACCAGTTGTCAGTGCATGTCGGTGTTCGATACATGTTGGACACGTGTACAATACTTTTTTAGAAGTATTTGTGCTACAAAAGGAATAAGTTTACCCAAAATTTAACCTAACTCCATAAATAGTAGGAATCTTAATTATTACTATTAATGATAATAAATATGTTTAAATTTCAAAACTTAATCAATAATTATTATAATTTATTGAGAGAGAGTGAGAGAGGTTTTATGTAAGGAAAAAAAAAACATGTTATTATAAATTAAGGATTCATGGCTAGTAGTTGAAGAAGATTATTTTTCAAATTGTACAAATTTAAACATATAATATATGATCTGTCTCAAGAGAATAAATGAACTTAATAAAATATGAAAATACATTGGTTGTAGATTAAATTATGTGAATTTTGCTTAATTTTTAATCTTATATTAAATTTTAAACAATTGAAATATAAGTAGTTAAGAATTTAAAAACTATCTAACTAAATTATTAAATTATGCATAATTCATCTAAAAATAAAGCCAAAATTAATCCTCTTTTACTCAATCTAAAAAAGGAAATTCTCTTCCTAAAAATAAACTTTACTTTAAAAGGATTCTTGAGCCAAAATAATATTAGTACTAATAATAATATTAACAACAACAACAACAACAAATTGATATTAATTAATTTAGTCCAATGGCCAAATTAATTAGACAAAAAGTCTTTTTCCTTGAGGTGTATAAGAGGGGATGGTCTACACCTTTATCACCAGTAGGACCCTTCTCCTTTTAAATATGGCTCCTCTCATGTCCCTCTCCCTTAACCTGAGCTTTTTAATTTCCCCCACAGCTGCTCTGCCCTCTTCCATCCTCCATTAGCAGAAAAAGAAAGCTTTTCAACCCTCAACTTGCTGTAAATCAAGCTAACCCAAAAAAAATCAGAAAAAAACAAAAAAATGGTAGGTTCCTCTTTCCTTCTTCTCTTCCTATCTTTATTCAGTAATTTAATTCTGATAAATATGCATTTTTGTTATAATAAAAATGATTTTCATGGCAGGAAGAAGGCTATGAAGGAGAGAGATGGATTGGCTATGTGGATTGGAGAGGAAGACCAGCTCTGAAAAGAAAACATGGAGGAATGGTTGCTGCTTCCTTTGTCTTAGGTATGAATTTAATGAATTTTGATAATTTATAAGAGTTTTATATCTAAACATCAGGGTTACTTTTATTATTATTATTTTTTTGTTAATTACAAATAGAAGAAGTGTAATATTTGTTTTTCTTCATCTTCTCCTTTGAAAATGAAAACAATCTCTAATTTGGGAGAGATTATTATGTCCGTCGCCTGGACGCCGAGCTGCATCTGAGCGACAGTCGTGATACAGCGGAAGTCCATCGCTCAGACGCAGCTCGGCATCCGGGCGACGAGCGGACGTAATAATTTTTCCTAATTTGGAGCCTTTTCAGTTTTTCATACTGAAACATGTGATCCAACTTACTTGGAACTTTTAAGGGTATCACAGCCTTATTGATCTATTTGACTTTTTGTTGAATAGATGAAGATCTCGCTTCTTCTTCTTCCTCTCTGAAAGTTAATTTTTTGCTCAGAATACAAAAAATATAATTTAAATTAAGAATTGCTGCATGCCGAAAACTGGTAAATAAGTGTCTATTTTACTCTTTTTTTAATAAGAAAACAAGCTTATTTTCAAAAAATAAGAGAAAGTATTCAAGCTTTTATTCAAAATAAATAGAAATTATTAAATTATTTTTGCAAAATAACACTTAATTTTTCACATAAATTGATTTAAACCAAAATTATTATATTTTCTTATTACTTTTTCTATAAATAAATAACCAAATAATCCCTTGCTAGCTTTAATATTAAATTATTTCTTTTTCTTTTCCTATCATTGTTACTAAAATAATTAAACACAAAATTAAACCATAATTAACAAATTAATTAACAAATGTAGCGGTGGAGATAATGGAGAATCTGGCTTTCTTAGCCAATGCGAGCAACTTGGTCACCTACTTGGATGGCTTCATGTACTTCTCGCCTTCTCGCTCCGCAACCGCGGTGACAAATTTCATGGGCACAGCTTTTCTCCTCGCTCTGCTCGGCGGATTCCTCTCCGATGCCTTCTTCACCACCTACGTTATCTACCTCATAAGCGCTTTTATCGAGTTCTTGGTAAGTGCTTTTCCATAATCTGCTTTCTGCTAATTATTGCTTTTATCTTTTATTGATTTAGATGATGACGTCGTGTTCGATCATGCCCCCCCCTGATATGATTTATATATGATTGAATAGTTTATATATATTATTGTTTGAGTACTGTTGGGTATGCAGTGTTAAAATATCTTGCTTTAAGATGAAATTAGAATATCTATGTGTACTTATTTTTGTGTTTTAAAATGACGTTTGTTGATAAGTTTTGTATGTAATGTTTAAATTTTTATATATTTATATATATAAAAAAATTAAATATGTATTTTTATAGATTTATCATTCAAATTATGTTTTGTTAAATCACATGCATGCACATGTATAAAATATTAGGATATATTTTTGGTGAATAAGAGAGCTTTTGTTGGCATTTGCATTAAAATTTAACCATAAATACTTGTTTTTTAGTAAAATTAAAATTTTGCTTTGCAAAAGTATTGAGAAGATATTGAAATCCTAACAAAGACGCTTGATTAGACTGTTAATAATACATGTATATAAGTCAATAACATGACTTTAAAGATGAAATTAATGGCTTCTATCAGTAATGAGATAAGACTGAACAGATGTGAATTTTGGAATCTTATGCATGAATTACAAAGTATAATATTTTTTTTTTCAAAATTTAGAAATCTTTCTTTGTGGGATAGTGATATTTATGGATTAGGAGGGAGGAATCCACCATTTTTTTTTCCATTATTAGATCAAATGATTGAGAAGAGGAGTTAATATGAGTTGTTCTTTTGATTCTCAAGGAATCATATGAATTTGCACTTGTCTAGATTTCTTCTCTGTCACATCAGTGGCCCATCCCTCCTTGAAGCATTTTTGTAAATTTAAATCATTTATATTTAAATTGTGATTAAATTAAAATAATGGGACTTTTACCTCCATATCACACTAATCTTATGTATTTACATATCTAACTGCTAAATATTTACTTTGGTGTCATAAATCTACTCATAGAAGGATGCAATTCAATTTTAAAAAGTAAGTCGAGGTAGAATTATTTATGTGATTTAAATATTGGAGTGCTAGATCTGTAATAAGAAAAATTAATCTACATACCACACAATTCCTATGTATTTACACATCTGATGTCTAAAGACTAATATTCACTTTTAAAATAATTTTATGTTAAAAATCTTTGCATGAAAAGCTAGATGCATTTCAGATTTAAAAAGCTAATAATAGTTGTATTTTTTTGTGATGTCAAAGATTTCCACCACAGCTTTTTAAGAAGTTGTTTTCATCACCACAACTTTATAAACAGATTTTTAAAAAAAAATTATAGTTACATCAAAAATACCCTAAATTTGATTAAAAGATATAGGAATCAATTGGAATGTTTTGAAAATAATCTTAAAAAAATTAAAATTTAGGAAAAATAATTATTGAAATTAAAAATCAAGTCAAAAAGGCATTACTTCAAGCTAATTGGATCAATTTCTTGATTTTTTTTAAAACTAGTGACATTTTTAATACTAATAAAATATTATTATTTGAGCCAATAATATATTTTTTTTTATTCAAATAAGTGTAAATAGGGCATCTAGTTATCTGGATTGGGATTAATGGTGCACACGTTCACAAAGATGTGGTAGTATGATCAACATGTGCTCTCTGCACAAACTAAAGTTTGTTTTGATATAAAACAACATCCTTTTATATATATATGCCCGAATGCCAATTTCCCATGTGTTAGACTCTGAGATGAGAGCCCGCACGATGTGCCTAAATATTTGAGAACCCAACGTCATTGGGGATCCGTGACCTGATGGGACTTACTGTGAATCCCGCCAACCAACAGGTCACAGCTTGCGACACACACACACAAATATATATATATATATATATATATGAGAGAGAGAGAGAGAGACCGGTGTGCGTGCTATGACATAAATGCATTTTAGTTCCAGTCTTAGTCATTTATATTTATGTTAAAATAATTTAATAGTCCCAAATTTATTTAATTTATGTAAAAATACTCAGGCGCATAATTTTCTCTCTTAAAAAGCTTTGAGCGCTTAATGTCTAAAAAATAAGTACATGCTATATTCTTTTGCGTTGTCCCAAAAAAAAAAAAAATCGCATCTTTTAAAAAGCGAATTCTAGAAGCTTGCCTTAAAATAACAATTATTTTTGTCCTCTAGTTATTGTGTTAAAACTGACCCTTAGCAGCTAAGTTATCATTAATTTCTCTCTTTATCTTTGACTTATAAATAATTAAATAAATTATTTTTTAATAATTCAATTATCAAATTAATTCATATATATATATATATAAGAGCTTACTTTATCCTTTTTTTTATTTTTTATTTTTTACATTTACATAGTTTGAAATGGGTCCCACTTTTTAGTAGCACATGAGAGCGGCCCTGCCTCTCCCACCAACTCATTCACATTCTAGTTTGGGTATCTGGTCACGCTAGTGGACCACGTTAGTCTTAAGTATTCCTGGGGTACAATTCTATGCCTAGATGTATTCTCCGCGTCTCATGCAAAAGCGTCACTCCCATCGGAACGGGAAGCAAGAAAAAGGCGGGTTAGGATATCAGTTTTGTGCTACAGTGCTTGCTCCTGATATGTGGGTTTATTCACCTGAGTTGGACAAAAGTACCTAATCTTTGGCCGTTCATGGGCTTGGTTGGGCTTAAAAAATATTATTTAACGAACCTATTAGTTATTAATTTTTAACTAATTAAAAAATAAATATATTCGTCTCATCACGAGAAAAACCTTCTTTCAGAAGCATTGATATTCGCTCCGGCAATTTTAATTTTTACTTCATTGTGAGATACCGTTTAATTCAATGTGAATTTACGTACATGAAATAGCAAAAAAGTATATTTAATTAGAAAAAAATTACAAATTCGAAGCAAAGTTTAATTTATACAAAAATGTTTTTTTTTCTTTTTGAGTAAAATGTCAAAATAATTCTTAACTATTTATATTGGAAAAAATATAAAAACGTATTTGATGCGGTGTCCGATCTTTACCGTTGATCACAATATTTTTTGTTTAGAAAAAAATAAAAAACGAGACCCACTAAAATACATCTTTATTATGATCAACGGTGAACATCGAATAACTTTTCATATTTGAAAGCTTAACTGTTTTTTTTTTTTTTTTTGGAAATGTTAATCATTTTCCTGCTCCAGTAATTTTACCAGCCTGCTTTGACTCATCAACAGGGACTAACAATCCTCACAATCCAAGCGCGGTCTCCGACCCTAAAACCACCACCTTGTTCCTCCGCCCCCCTCTCCTCCTGCCAAGAAGCCACCGGCTCCAAGGCCGCAATGCTCTTCGCCGGACTCTACCTCACCGCTCTCGGTATCGGCGGCATAAAAGGCTCCCTCCCATCTCACGGCGCCGAGCAGCTCGACGAAACCACCGCCTATGGCCGAAAACAACGCTCCACTTTCTTCAACTACTTCGTCTTCTGCCTCTCCTTAGGCGCCCTCATCGCAGTCACCTTCGTCGTCTGGATCGAAGACAACAAAGGCTGGCAATGGGGCTTCGCTATCTCCACCCTCACCATCTTCCTCTCCATACCCACATTCCTCTCTGCCTCTCCAATTTACCGCAACAAACTCCCCGCCGGAAGCCCCCTCACCATAATCGCCAAGGTATTCCTCGCCGCCATCTTCAACTCTACCTCAAATCAAAGCCACTGCAATGCCGTCGTTGATCTTGCCGCCAGCTCCGCCGGCAACAATGAAGCGGTTATTAAACAGCCAGGTTATCAATCAATCAATCAAATCGTTTCACTAACCAAAGAGCTCAGATTTCTCAATCGAGCCGTGGATTGTTCGCCGGCGCATAAAGCGCTGACTTGCAGTCATGGGGAAGTAGAAGAAGTCAAAATGGTGGTGAAAATTCTTCCAATTTTTCTCTTAACTATAATGCTCAACTGTTGCCTGGCTCAGCTCTCTACTTTCTCAGTGCAACAAGCAGCAACAATGGATACTCGGGTGGGCGGGCTCACTGTCCCGCCGGCCTCCCTTCCTGTTTTCCCTGTGATTTTCATATTAGCTCTTGCACCATTATACGACCACTTCATCATCCCTGTGGCCCGCAGATTCAACAGAACCGAAACAGGGATAACACACCTCCAAAGAATCGGGATTGGGTTGGTGCTCTCTGTCGTAGCAATGGCTACGGCGGCGCTGGTGGAGGTGAAGAGGAAGAGGGTGGCGGAGCAATCCGGTTTGGTTGACTCAGCTGAAC